ATCTTGGTGCTACCGGAACTAGATTTGAAACTGGTTGCATCAAATCATGACTTCATTCAGATTTACAAATTTGAAGCATTCATTTTTGCTAATTTCTTAGCGTTGCATCCATTTAACGTAGACGGGGCTAAAACAAGGGCAATTATGAATAGGCTTTACAATGAACGAAAGACATACCAACCTGAATTTCTGTTTGTATGTGGAGACACTTTCCGAATAAATTGTGAAGTAGTTTTTCCGGATATTCCTACTCATGCTCTTACATATCATACAATGATAAAAATGATTACATAATGATTGCCATTGGCTCAGTTCTAAGTCATTAACTGGAGGCAGAGGATGGAAGATTTTTGCGTGTGTAGCCGTGTCCAGAAGAATAGATGGATCAAGAAGAAAACAGATCCAAAGAAAACATGGAATGGTCAATACATCAACCTTTATAGTTTCGTTCCTGTAAAATACAAAGGTAACCTATAGTCAGGTGACTAACCTTCAAAGTCCGGAAGATTTGTTCAGCAGAAAAGGAAAAGCAGATCTTTATTCCCAAGAAATAACTATTCCTACAGATTCCGTTTAGGAGGGGACACACACATAGATAGGGTAGCACTGAGAACGGCTGTTAAGTTCACTTTCCCCCAGACAAATTTAGATCTGTATTCTTGACATCAGCCGCAATGCGAATGCAAGTGAAAGACAAACTCTCGAAACTGACCTCATCTATGATAGTTTACTGTTTTAAGTGTGTCTTTGGTGAATGTTAAGTAGTTCATAGGGAAAGGCGTTTGTCTGAAAGCGCTAAGGAGTTCCATCCACTATGGTTAAGTCCGAGAGAAACCGGCTGTATCTCAAGCGCGATCGTGGGTCATCTCATCGACACTGTACATAATATCGGATCGGAGAAAGATTTTTGTGTTGTTTATGACATCCCACTCAATTGATCGAAGGTGGGTCGAGTTTAAACACTAGCAATGGCCGAGGCGATCGCCACTTGCTTACTATGCCCAAGTCTGCGCGCTCAGTGACTGATTCAAGCGTTTCAATTGCTTTGGTTTATCATGAAGGCCAAGACAGAACATGGAATATATTTTGACCCGAGTGGAGCAAGATGAGGTCGACTAATACACAAACACACAAACGTACATAATCCACACTCTGCCTCCGATTGGAGACGTAAAATTGAGCCAATGGTTATCATTATGAAGCATTTTCCCACTGTATGCTATGTAAGAGCTTGCCTGGGAATATCCGAAAACAGTTGTTTGCTCACCCAGTCCGTTTTCCTCAATACTATCATGGAATTCATACGAGATTCACGTTTGCAACGGATCTCACTGAAAAACGTGGGCTTGATGCTTATGATCATAGCCACGACGAACGAAAACGAAAACAAAACACAAGTTGTTGGTGGGAACATCCGAACTGTTGAAATTATGCAGTATCAAGAAGTCCAGTTGGTAAACCTGGTTGTTTCTAATTCTTCATTCAGGAACCGGAACGAATGGAAGTTTGGAACAAGTCACAGAGAACCATGAGTAGCTGATATGATGAATGAAACTGATGACATATTTGTGCGTATGCATTATATCTCCTTGATGTTTGTGCATTTAGAACCGGGAGTGGGTGGGTGCTTAATTGATTTAATGAATAGTACAGTCGAATTAGAGAAAGATTTAAACTCGTACGCATTCCCTGTAATACAACACACACACAAACGCTTTCCTCAATCTCTCAAACTCATGCCATTCGGTGACCGAGAAAAGATGTAGTTGGTCGATGAATTAAGCAATGAAACCGGTGAACGTGGTATTTCACTACGTTATGAGATGAGAGAGTGACATCATGATCGACGATATAAATGATCTTGTCTTACTCTAAATGGTGATTGCATCTCCATTGCGATTGGGCATGGTAATTCGGTGAAGGTGTTGTTTTCGTGCCACCACTCCAGTCCCGTCGAGAACACATACTACACGCGCTGTTGATCAGTCTCGGAAGGAAGGAAAAACCAGCTGTTCGGTATGCGCAATTCACTCTGATGCGTCGATCCCAATCGTCGTGTGATCATCACGAAATAGCGTAAGTCGATTGGAGTTAAGAACTAGGTAAATGCTACCACAGGCTGGTATGAGTCAGAGCGTTTTTGTAAGTGCCTTCCATTCATTGTCTGGTGTCAACATTTTTTCTTTTTCATGTTTTACTTCCTTTTATTGATCGCCTTATGATGTAATTTTCAGGAAGGGAAAAGCGACCAATCAAAGGGCTGCCATGCAACACACACAATGGTGAAGTATAGACGGTGGTGGTGGGATTCGAACACACACGTCCTCCCCGGGGTGATAATTTGGTGATGTTGCCACTACCACCCATCAAAAAGTCTTTGGAATAGGATAATACTACAATTTCGGTAATGAGCCATAGTGACTAACAAAGGGGAGTAGTATTGAAGTGTGTGTG